GGTTATATTTTACCCCAAACCTGTATCTCATTTGAGTAGGGAACTCTTCATTGTGGAAACGCATTCCACTAGAACTGGTTATACAAAGTTGCCAAGGGCATAGAAAGTTTAAGTAACTTGAGTAGCTCTTCGAAGCACGAAGAGATTTAGTTACTTCCTCAAGGTCCCATAAGTTGTAAGACGCTGGGAAAGGATTTGCCAGATGTGCCTCTTTATGATGTCCCTCTTCTTGTCAGTTTCAGCGGATTTCCTTACACAAGTCTATTGTCTTTATACAGTGTTATTCTACTGCTCCCTTTCAATCATTCACCTCCTTTTAAATAAGGTACGCCCTTCCAAAGTCATAGGCTAGTCATTGATTAGTCATAGCCTACCAAATCTCACTGATACACAGCATAATAGGGGTCTGAGGAATGCCCAGATCACTTGAGATGGTGTCTTCCCATGTGGAAGATGCAAGGGACTTCCTGCCTCAAGTCTCTCCCCACTTTGATCCATCCTCCATTCAACCAGTAGTGATTTTCTTAAAGCACAGGTCTTAACTAGATAGATCATATCACTACCACCACCACTCAGTTAACTCCAGTGGCTCCCTATTGCTTCTAGGATCAAATACAAAATGCTATTTGACATTCAAAGCCCTTCATAAACCAGCCCCCTCCTACCTTTCCAGTCTTCTTACAGCTTACTCCCCAACACATAATTCTTCAATCCAGTGACACTGGTCTCTGGGCTATTCCATGAGAGCCCTAGGCATTTTTATTAGATTGTTAGATTGTAAGACCTCGAGGGCAGGGACCATCTTTTGCCTCTCTTTGTATTCCTTAGCACAGTGCCTGGCACATGATAGTCATATGATAAATGTTAATTGATTAATTAGGGAACTGCTTTTGGTACAACATTGGATTTATCCTTTTCTCATGATGATGGAGACTTTGACAGGAAACCTGTTCCTTCCAGGTTGTCAGCACTTTTATAAACAACAAAAAAATGGCAATATCTTATGTGACAACAATTAATAAATTATGAATGAAAGTGAAGGAAACAAGACACATCAACACCACTTTCATGGTCTTCACAAAAATAATTGTCTCAAAAAATTATGCATGTGTGTATATACAAATATACACACACATATATATATGTATATATATACATACATACACCCAACCAATAAACTGTACTAGTCAAAATTTTTGCTGAAAACTACTCAGAAATAACACCAATCCACAAAACTTAAGAACAACATTTTAGTAGATGCCTCCAGACCAAATCCTCATAATCTTAAGTCATCAGCAAGCATTTATTAAGTGCCTCCTAGGTGCCAGGCTTAGTGCTGGGGATACAAAAACAGTCCCTGCTCTCAAGGAACTCACAGTCTAATGGGGAGACAATATACAAATAAGTTATACAAACAATTGTTCAAGGATTCATTGATAGGCACTGCTGTCAGTCATATCTATCTATCAACACCCAGATAGCTGGAAAAAACTGGTTTATTATATGCTCAGAGCATAGATTCACTGTATACAAAAAAGCAGTGGGCCCTAAGCAGTAGCTTCAGCAGCTTTATATAGATTTTAGTTATATTGGAAGGATGTGCACAGACAGAAGAGAAGATAATGATTTACACAAAGAATGGATAGCAGAAAGGGAAGATTTACATCATGTAAAATAATAAACTAGTCAGTAAACACCAGGGTTATAGCTGGAATTTGCAAACTGAACAGTAACACTGGCCCTATAATTTCACATCTCAGCTTGATTCTGCAGGCTTTAGTTAGTTTTACAAACTCATCTTAAGTAAATGGTGATAAGAAAATTAAGCCCAAAATTCTCTTATCACACAAGATATATCATACAAGATATATACAGGGTAAATTTCAGGTAAGCCCACACTGAAGACCCTAATTCTTAAGAAGAATCAGGAAAGGCTCCTTGCAGAAGGTGAGATTTTAGCTTACACTCGCAGGAAGCCAGCAGAGGGAGATGAGGAGGGAAATAATACCAGGCATGGGGAACAGTCAGTGAAAATGCGCTGAAGTTTGGAGATGGAGTGTCTTGTGAGAGGAACAGCAAGGAGGCCAATTATCAGTGGATCACAGATTACTTGGTGGGAACGGGTATAAGAAGACTGGAAAGCTAGGAAGGGGCCAGGTTATGAAGAGCCTTAAAAATCCAACAGATGGTTTTATATTTGATTCTGAAGGTGATAAGGAACCACTGGAATTTATTGCATAGGGGGTTAACAACTCCAAACTACATGAAACAAAAAGTTGTCCAAATGTAGAGACTTAGCAGAGGAGGCCAAAATAATGTAGAAACAGAATGAGGTGTGTATTCATCTTTGTTGCCCTATCTGCTACTGGAATTATAGTGATAATGCCTTCAGTGAGCTTATAGAGGATAAATTTACATACTAATGTTTTTATTTAACTATGAAAAAAAACAGTTAGTTTGTCTGCCTGTGCAACAGTATTGTAGAACATTAAATATATAAGAACAGTAGGATAGTTATTTGTCCTAGGACCACTTCTATCTGAACCCAGTTGAAAAACATGAGAACGAGGTGATAACAACAATAATAATAACAACAATACGTATCTATATAGGACTTCAAGGTTTTTAAAGCACTTTCTAGACACAATCCTATTTGCCCTGTGAGGGAAGTGTTACAGTATTATTATCCTCATTTTATAGGGGAAGAAACTGAGGTTGAGAGGTTAAGTGACTTACCTTAAATCATTGTACAGAAACTCAAATCTTATTTTCAGACAGCATCTTCTTACCTTGTTGATCACTTCCTATATTCATCTTTCTCCTTTGAAGCCCCTATCTTCAGTCAGCAGGAATAATGTAAATAAAAATCTGGATGTGGTTCAGTTTATCCAGGAACATGTCAACTCAGTGGTTGGATACCTACTAAGAGTACCATCAGGAAAATTAATGTTTGTAGATGGTCTAAGAGACTTAGTACTCTTTTCCTCCCCTTTCCATCATTGTTTTACTATTATAAACGAAGGGGTAGGATATTAGTTTGTGTTTTCTACTTCAGAGGTCTTCATGAAATCATGATATCATCACCCAGTGGCCAACTTTTCAATCAATCACAAATATCTCTATCTTTAAATAAATGTAATGGGGGTGTGGAATATATACAGACCCCATTAGCTTGCTCCCTTGAAGGAACTATTCAACAAAGAGGCATCAGAGAGCTTGCCTCTGGGAGAATCATGTCAGTGTGGAAAATAAGTACCTTGGAGAGACTATGGAGCATGTGTAAATATCATTTGCCAAATTTGCTGTTAATATTGTTCCAAACCATGCAAGATTACTTTGTTTATGACTGTTTGCTGTTTATTATGTAATCTTTGTGTGACAGGCTCCCTCCTGATAGGAAGGGCAAGGCTAGGCTTTGGAAACCTCTAACTACCTGGCTCACTGCCCCCCACCCAAATGATCTGGGAACTTCAATATCTGACATACACCTCCAGGATATATGTCACCAACTCAAATCATGAGAAGATGCATTTATAAATCAAGGAAAACCAGGAAAACAAGTAGGACTTGAATCAGAACCCACAGAAAATGATCCCCATCAGAAAGCAACCCTGTCCCCAAGACCTAGAGTTTCATTTATTTATAATACAGCTATGGGTGGGGCCCCAGAAGAGGGCATCTGACAATGATCCTTTGTGCTCATTCTCCCTGCCTCAGATCCCCTGCATGTCTAATTTCATTGCTGTTTTGTATCAACTCTTACCTCTAGTTACTTCTCCTATCTCTCACTGCTCCTTTTCATTCTCCTCTGTAGCATCTTATCCTATAATTCTTCCCATCTCTCAGCAGGTTATGGTCATTCATTTGCAAACCCTTTTGTCTATCTTCGGCTGCTCTTAAGTTTTTCCTACTATCTCTTTCCCTAGTTTTCTTCAACTTGTAGCATATGGCACTTGTTCCCATTTCCAGAGGACCAGCTGTCCAAAGAAGTTAGGGAAGAAAATTCCAGACTCTCTGTCTTGTCCCAAGGTGTTTATAAGTCAAAATGTGTCTCCACCCAAGAATCCTTCCATTTTTTAAAGCCCCCTTTTTTTTTACATTAGTTCTTACAGCCCAAAACCTCATGAATAAGTATCCTAAGGGTTAAAGGAATCATTTCGTCATGCACCTTACAAGTTGGTATCTTTCTCTGATCCCGTTGGCTCACAGCAGCTAATTACAGTTTTCATTCTCTCTCCCCCAATGCCAGAGTAGTACTCACATCTGTATTTTCCATTGGGTCTAAAACTTTGGAGACAGCACTACACTTTCTCCCCAAACATCTTTATGTCCCCTATATTTCCCCTGGAGCAACTGTGTGTGTTTATTAAAATGCAGGGCTGTTTCCCAAAACATCTAGGAAAAGGAATAAAGAGCCAGGCACTGGTCTTCCCCTCATTCTCCACTCCTCCTCCCACAAACCAGGAAGAGAAAGGTTTGTAATTCCCCACAATAATTCCATTTTATATAGTGCTTAATGCTACTTGGGTAGGTAGGTGGTGCAGTGGATAGAGTTGCAGACCTGAAGTCAGGAAGTCATCTTCCTGAGTTCAAATCTGGCCTCAGACACTTACCAGCTGTGTGACCCTGGGCACATCACTTAACTCTGTTTGCCTCCATTTCCTCATCTGTAAAATGAACTAGAGAAGGAAATGGCAAACTACTCCAATATCTTTGGCAAGAAAATCCCAAATGGGGTCATGAAGAATCTGACACAACTGAAATGACTGAACAACAGTAATGCTACTTATTGCCCAGTAGATATATAGGTATTGTGTGTCATGTATATGCTACGTGTACATATAGATATAAAAACCAATGCATGATATTATTCTGAGACAGGAATGGTATGGGTAAAAGTAATTATGGTTTAATTATCCTTTAATTAGCTTTGTCATTGTTTATTTATACATAGTAACAAATATAAGCTATTAATTCAACCTATCACTTTCAATCTTTAGTCACCTTGGGAAAGCACCAAATACATGGATGAACTAGATCATTAGATAACACAAGGGGGAAAAGAAAATGGAGCCCAGCTAGAAGAAAAATACAGGTGAATCAAGTTAAGGTTTTTCATTAACTAAACATTTAATTGGTATTTGTGGTATGTTGTCTAATATTTAACAATGGGAAGAATGTGGGGAACATGATAAATTCAACAAAAAGCTGTGTTGTAGATTTTGTAAAATCCTGTTTTAAGAGGGCAAAGGGGGAAGAAAATAGTCCATGTTTGATGGATCAAATAGTTACTAAACATTAATAATTGTATGCCTGAAAGATGTGTTACTCAAATAGCTGCAAATCACTCATTTCCCCTACGATAATAAAAGCTTCTCTCAGCAGTTATGTGGCAGATTTCAGCTCTGGCATTCTCTCCTTCATTGGCACATTTATTGCAGTGACAGCTGCTATCAGTGGGTGGTATCCTGGGCTTTTGGAAGGCACAATAAAGTGGTTGTAATACTGTGTATGTTTCTGGGAAAAGCCCTTTGCCTGTGGTTTGGTATTTTCAGTATTTTGTGCCCTTGATAGAACCGGAAACTGAAGGCCAGAATTGGAATATAGGTGTTTCATTTTTCTCAAATTATTTTCTTAAGCGGAATTTGTAGTGACAAGGTTATTTGTTTTCTCCCAGGTGATGGGCATTGGTTTGATTCACCGAATGAAAGACAATCCAACAAATGAGTGTCACTGTTTTATCTGTGAAAAAGATGGCTCTGCCCTTTGGTCAACACCTCCTTCTAATTAGCTTCTTTGGCTTCTTTGCATACAGCAGCTTTGTAAGAGGTCAAAAGAACAATACATTGATTTTCACCAAGGAAAACACCATTCGAAACTGCAGCTGCTCTGCTGACATACGGGATTGTGATTACAATTTGGCTAATCTGATGTGCACTTGTAAAACTGTTTTACCCTATACAATAGAGCAAGCCAGCTATGACAGCGATCTGACTATCTGGTTCACAGACACCACTGCACTGGGCTTGCTACTGAACTTTACATTGGTTAGGGACCTGAAGCTTTCCCTATGTAGCTCTACTATCCTCCCAACAGAATATCTGGCTATATGGGGACTGAAGAGGCTTCGAATCAACACAGAAGTCAAGGATCAGTTCCCAGAGCAAAGCTTACTGATACACAGCAGTGGTGACAGTGATTTTAAGGAAGATAAGCCTAAATGGCCCACAGACAGGCAAACATTTTTGTATGTTTCATTCCTGGATACAGCTCTTTTCAATGGGGAATCTTCTTTGAAATCATACAGCATTGAAAATGTTGCCAGTGTCACAAACAACTTCCCTTACCTCTCTTACTTCAAAATGTTTTCCATCCCAAGCAACAAAAGCTATATTGTTACATTCATTTACTGATACTGTATTGTGATCAGTTTCAATGGATACATTAACAAAATGCGGTTAGTCTGTGCAATGTATATCATTAAGGGATTTCCGACTTTATATTAAACGCCCCCTTAAAACTAACCCCTTCTTCCCCTGCTGAGCCACCCACATTCCCTCCAACCATCAGGCTTCTGGGGAATCATGAGACCATAGATTTACAGCTGAAAATTACTTCACAGGCCATCTAGTCCAAACCCTTCATTTTATAGATGAGGAAAATGAAATCTGGAGAGGTTAAATAACTTGTCCAAAGTCATATTGGCAGTGTCAGAAGTGGAATTTGGACCCAGGTCTCATTTGATGCTCAAAACAACCCTGGGAAGTGGGCGCTATTTATTTTCATTTTACTGCTGAGATGGAGGCAGATGGAGGGTAAGTCATTTGCCCAAGGCCTCAAATAAGTGAGTAAGAAAATAAATAAATAAATAAGACCCTAATAAGTGTCTGAAGCTGGATTTCAACTTGTGACTGACTTCCTGACTCCAAGTTCTAACTACTGCACCATCTAGCCGCCTCTAAGTGCCTTTGGCTCCAGAACTCATGCTCTTTCCATAGTATCATGATGTATTGCCACAGATGCCATTTAGAAGAAAAAAAAATGAAGCTTTTAAAGACAAGTCTAGAAAAGGAGAAAGAAAAGAAGCTATGAAAAACTGGAAGGGTTTAGGGAGCTGAACCAAGAAAGGGACTACCAGAATATACTTTAAGAACTCTTCTACTCTACAATTTCTAACAGCCTGCATTTCTACCAATTAGAAACAAATTTGGATTTACAAATTCCTCTTTTAAAAATGCTGGGAGGTAAAGGACAAATGCACCAATCACATATTACTGTGAACGGTGTATTCAATCAGATTGCTTTCATCCTAATACCTAACTAAAAATAACTGCAGTGAGAAAAGGAGGTGGGTCATGGTGCAAGAGAGGTAAGTAATGGTGGAACATAATGCACTTTGGAAATTAGGGCAGGATTGGGTAAAGAGCCAAAGTGGAGACTCCTTGAGGTCAGGGACCACTTTAGAGGAAGGGCATTGAGAGAGGAGAGAGGCTCAGAGGGAAGTGGGAAGATGCCCAAGGCAAACTTTGCCCATTTAAACATTTTGCCCAGGACTGGCCCCATACAAGGAAAAATGGAAGAGGGTATCTTCTTCCATCCCCCTTCATCCTGTATCACATACTCTCAGAACTAGTAAGCAGGTTAATTATATTTGTATATATTAGAATGTAAACTCCTTTTGAGAAGGGATTTTTTTTCATTTATTGTATTTGTATCCCCAGCACCTAAGCACAGTGCCTGACACCCAGTGCTTAACAAATGTTTGTGGAGTGTTTGATTATGTACCATGGTTTAGGAGTTTAAAAAAAAAGGTTGGAAATCTGTGATACTTTGTCTCCCTGGAGAAAACTCCACTCAGAGGCCAGACTCTCCTGATTTGTGACTGCCTACCAGGACTACTGCATCAGAAGGGACCCTGCCATGATGCTCCACTGTACTCACAACTCAACTCCCCAAATGTCTTTTCCTCCTGCTCACCCTTAGCAACCACCTTGCCTTGCCTCTTTTGCTTTTCAGCTCCCCTTTACGTGTTGTTCTCTCTCCCCAAGAATGTAAGCTCCTTGAGCATAGGGATTATCTTGTTTGTATCTGTAGCATAGTGCCTCACAGTGTTAAGTGCTTACAAGGTTCTCTTTCTCTCTGTCTCTTTTTCTGTCTCTGTGTGTACGTCTCACACACACATACACACACAAAGAGAGAGAGAGACCAAGAGAGATTCAGAGAAAGACAGGTAGAGACAGAGACAAAGAGAGACTGAGGAAAACAGAGTATGAAGGTACTGGATAAGACACGCTCCAAACAACTCACCAAAGAAAATTAAGCTGACTATATCTCAACAGGCAGAAAATTACTAGTTATAGATGTGCAATATCAGAATCAGCTGTCTCACGTTCAGTCAGATCACAGACTAAAAAAGTATAGAGCAAAAGTCAAAATCAACATCAAATTAAACAAGAGGTTAAAGATGAGAGAAGACACTGTAAATAACTGTAATAACTTAACAACTTCAACCTATTAAAACTGATGGTAGGAAATGGGAAATGGATAAAGGAAGAGATAGATACTAATCTTAATTGTCATCATTTTCTGCAACAGTTTAACAAATAAAATAATTACAATAAGACATTTACAATGACAAGCAGGCTAAAATATTTCAGAAACTACCATTTATTATTTCTTTGTCGTTCAGGCAGAAATGAGGAACCAAAAGCAAAGTCAATTTATACTACAAGTTCATTTGCAAAACACTGCCAAATAGGATGGTAGGAAATTATGAGCAATATCACTTCAAAAATTGTAAAAAAGGAATGAAAGGGGAAATAAGTCTACAAAAATCTTGGTGTGAAACCCAAATGAGCCATATCATCCCAAGAATATACAAAGATGAAAATCACAAGATGACCATGAATAGCTATAAAATGGAACAAATTGTACCACGTTTCTATAATGATCTATTTTAATCATCAATGACAGAGTAACCATAATTGGATTCTAATACTTTAGTCCCCAATGTACTAGATGTAGAAATGGCACTTCAGATAAATTCAAGAATAGCCAGACGAAAACTACATATATGCTGAAGAAATCAGTGCAGGAAAAGGACATAAATTTTAAAGACTGAGGAATTATTTTCTAAAATAGCTCAGGGAGGAAAAGATACCAAAAATAACCAGGAAAAAAATCACATACAACATTAATATCCAAAATGGCAATCAAGAACAATAACTACTAATCTATATGCCCACTTTTTTATATCATAACAATTTTTATGAGAATGATCTATATATGTATTAAAGGAACTCTTGATTTTAAAAAAATATATGTATATATGAAACAGATAAGCTTTCACATACAGCTCTACAGCAGACCACATCATTCTGGTCACACAATTGACTTAAAGGTTAAAAGAATACAAGGTCCCACACTGCTAATGCTTGTTTGTTACAAAAAGCATCAGGAAAACACAGCTTAAACAGCTATCCTCATCCATGTGTTAAAATTACTCAATGATACAGAGATAAATGCTTGTCAAAGGTGTATATCACTATTATAGAGGATTTATTCTGCAAGGTCTAAATGGAAGAGTGCTGCCTTTTTGATTGTGGGGTCTTTCATGTGTTCCTTTTGGAGATGCTATTTACTGTGTTGGATACATCAAATCCCAGAATACTACAAGGCCGCCTCCAAGGCATCCATGATTAATCAAAAGATTAACCTAGCAATTCATACAGGAAAAAACTAAATGGGTGAAAACCAGTCATCAGCTAGATTATGGAATGCATTTGGATGGCCAATCCATTGAGTTTATTAGTATATGTGTGTATATAATCTATGTATGTGCATAAGATTATATGTACATATAGTTATGTATATATATACACATTGATATATTCACATTTATGTGTTTTTATTTTTACATATACGTACATATTTATGTTGTTGTTTGTCCTTCATTTTCAAAGAAGATCAGTGACATCACGGGGTGATGACTTGCATATGAATTGGATTTAAGTGAAGCAGAGTTACACAAAGTTGTCAGCCTCACTCTCTCTTCCAGAGTCATAAGTCCAGTGGCAGGACAAAAGTCAGGATAATTGGCAATGGACCAGGAAGCAGTGGATGACCTTGGCATCTTCAATGTCTGACCAAGCCCTAAGTGCTCCTCTGTGCCTGCTTTAGCCACCTTCATGGCCATTGGAAAAAAATGTCCTCATCTGCCCAGGGGGAAGTCTTCGCATGCTTGGGGCCTATCTGTTGCCCTCAACCTAGTTTAGCCCATTAGCTGAGATGGTTTTATCAGGGTATAGCCACTAAGCATGCTATAGCTTCTTGGGGCCACAGGTGAGAGCTGGGTGACTGATTGGACACCGGAGGTAGATGAACAGCCCTGAAAAGGGGTTGGCAAGCTCTCACACTAGAGGTACTACTCTTCCCTGAACACCCTTTGCCAAGAAAACCACAAAAAGTCAGAAATAACTGAACACAAAGTAAACATAGTCAAACATATATTATATATGGTGTGTGTATGTCTTCACTCCTTAGAGACCTATGGTCAAATTTCCCTGACTTATACTCTTTGAACTCAGAATCACAGATTTCAGGTCTTGATTTGATGTTAGAGATCACCTAGTTCCAATGGGTCTCAAAGATTTTGGTCCCTTTATACTCTTAAGAATTATTTCAAAATAATTTTTAAATTTTCTATGTGAGCATTTATACCTTGGAAATCCACAAATGCTACATTCAAGAGTTGATTTATTGTTTAATTGATTGTCTAGACTCTAGATTTAAGAAAATGATAAAATGTCAATAATGCAGATTAAACTTACAAATATGCTACAAATTTTTTTTAAAGAGCTGGTTGTTAAGCACTTAACAGCACACCCTTGGTTTTATTGTATTAGAAATTAAAACATCTTACTATTATCATGAAAATAGTTTTAACCTTATGTACTATGAAAGGACCCTCAGGGGTCTCTGAACCACACTTTGAGAATCACTGACTTAGACTGTCCCCTTCATATTGACAAAGGAGAAAACTTAAAGCTTAAAGAGAGTAACTCAGTCAAGATTACATTGTAATGCAATATCCTCTCTCATGATACTCTTCCAACTCACATTAACATGTTGGATCTCCTGAGGGAAGTCCAGGTTCGGAGTATTATGTGACTCTGAACTCCTGAAACTATGGATCACAGGCCTCCACTGATTTGTCTACCTTCAACACTCAGCCAGTTGACACAATTAGCTCAAAACAAAAATGTTTACTGAAATCATGGAGCAGAAACAATAGTATAAAACCTGGGGTACTTTCTGTCACAAATACATACATGAGAACACCCATGTACGAATATAGTAGTATAGAAACACAACCTTAGAAATGCATGTGGTCAAGCTATTTGTGCCCCTACTGCAAGACCCTGACATCCTTTCTTTTCTCATGTTGTTCTCACATTGCTACGCCCAGACACGGTGTCTGCTGAGTTAGTCACTTAGCTTGGCTCCCTGAGCCTACTCTCTGCAATGTCACACATGGACCTCTTTGGGGTAAGTTGCTCCTCTGAAAGGTAGTACTGGTTGGGGGAGGGGGAGGCAAAAGGCCTGATCCTCACCAAGAGGCAACAATAATATCCTCTCAAGAGGATTGTTGGCTCTTTTGGTTGCCAGGGATGAATCTCTCTCTTCTGTCTGTACTGACTTACCAAAAAGTATCTGTCTGCAGAGCTGGCAGATATACGGCTGATCCTTTAGCAAACCAATGGGCAGCTTGGTGGTGCAGTGGATAGAGTGCCAGACCTGGAGTCTGAGAGGTAATTTATGCTGCAGACTATAGCCAGAACAGAGTCAAGGTAACTAGCCCATGGCAATTGAATTATTAGCCTTGACCCCCTTAGTGCCAAGTTCTAAGTACCAACCTACTAGGTGTGATAAATAGAGTGGGTCCTTTTAAAAGGAAACCAAAGAATTATTGCATGTTAGCACTAGAAGAAACCTTAAAGATCTAGGCTCACCTTACAGATAGAGAAACTGAGGTCCAGCAAGGTGAAATCAATACTCAGCAAAGAAGTTAATGTGGTCTTCAGCTGCATGAAGAGAGCTATGGCTTCTGGGGATAAAGCAGTAATACTGGTCAGATCACAACTAGAATACTATGCTTTGTTTTGGGCACCCTAATTTACAAAGGATAAGTTGAAATGCATCTAGAATAGAACAAACAGAATAGAGAAGGGTCTCAAGTCCAAGCTATATGAAGGATTAGCTCCAGGAAATGGAGATATTTAGCAGTTAGAAAAGAAGACTCAGACTTGACAGATGTCTTTAGCATTTGGAGGGCTGTCATGTAGATGAGGCATAATATTTTCTTGGCCCCAGAATTAGAAGCAATGGATAGGTGGAAGCTGCAGAGAGGCAAATTTAGGCTTAATGTAAGGAAAATCTTCCTAAAAATTAGAACTATCCCTAAGTAGAGAGGATTGCTTTGTATGGTGTTCAAAAAAAAAGGTTGGACAGCCACTTGTTACGTATGTTATAGAATGGATTCTTTTTGGGGTTGAGTCTTTTTTTGAGGATGAGGCCTCTTCAAGCTACAAAATTCTATGACTCTGAACTGACTTGCTCAATGTCACACAGATGGTAACAAGGCTGGTATTTGAACTCGTCACCTGATTCCAATTTCAGGGCTCTTTTCACTACACTAATCATTATTCTTTTGGCTGTGTAAATATTACAGTTATTATTCTTGTATATAAAGTTGCAATGATAAACTATTGCAAACACAAAGTTTCCAGTAGCCAGTAACACACAGTGGACACAATTTGCAACCACAATATTCAGATAGTAATTATAGAGCACAATAGCTATCTTTGAACCTCTCCTGTTTTACACAAAATAACAATTATAAAAATATTGCTCACATTTACAGGGTGCTTTAAAGTGGAAAGGATGGCTTCCTCACAAAAATCTTATGAGTTAGGTAGTTCAAGTTTTATAATCTCTAATTTACAGATGAAGAATCTTTATATTAATTATTTACTTACTATATTAATTATTTACTTACTATGTGCCTGGCACTCTGCTACAAGGTATAGACACAAAGAAAGGCAAAAATCAGTCTCTGCTTTCAAGGAGGTCACAGTCTAACAGGACGTATAACATGTAAACAACTATGTACAAACAAGATCATAAATTGAAGAAAATCTCTACGCCAAAGCAAGAGACCCAGACAAGTCCAGCCTAGGAGAAGGAACGATGTCCAATCTCAACCCAAGTAAAGCTGTCTCCTCAGTAACTTCATTAGTGGCCCAAAGACGGCACACCTCACCAAGCAAATAGGGATGGAGTTTTTAGGTTGGGGAGGGGGGTGGAGTAAGGCAGGGTGAAGGATACAGTATCTCAACCCAGTTTTTGGTCTGTGCCTTCCTTAGGACAACTCTCAACACCTCCCCAACCCTAAGAAATCTTGTCTTTCCCCAAGAAGTGTTAACTTCCCCAGCTTCTCCAGCTTTTCCATGGCCTAGAGAACAAAGACTGAGGAGAAGTGCCAGTTTGAAAGTGTTGTGGACCACCTGTGAGAGGAAAGGAGGGGGATTTCAAATGTATCAGGCACCTGTAGTAGCTAGGTTGCCCCTGGGAGGAAGGGAGAAATGCTTCCTCAGGGCACAGAGTTCTCTCTCCCTCTCAGCAGGATCTGCTCTCAGTGGAGGAGAAATTGGGATATGGGTGGGGGACACAAAGACCCTGATGGAGGGCCATGCTTTCCTGGGAATCTTTTGATTCTTCAATCCCCAAGATTTTTTTTCCTAAAATTTGACCCTCCCAAATTGCTTTGACCCGAGGAGCGTTCTTCCTTGTTTAATTGTATATCCTCAGGGGTGAGACCAGGGACTGACTACTTTTCTGAAATGTCCAGTGGTCTGGTGTCCAATTACCCCTAAGAGTGAACAAATATCAGCATCTTAGCTAAAAATGAGAGAGTGACGGTCTGGAGAACTGCTCTGACACTGATCTGGGTCTGGTTCCTTCTCTGTAAAATTAGGGGGCTGAACAAGGCAGTCCCTAAGGTTCCCTCTAGCTCCAACAGTCTGTGAATCTATGAAACTGGGCATCCAGTTTGCCCAGGGTCACAGAAGTTTCCCTCTCTGTGCCCTCAGTTTTGTCCCCTGTAAAATCAAGGACTTGGACAAAATGATACATAAGATCCTTTCCAGTTTTGTGATGGTACTTAAAAAGTTTTGGTGGTGAGGGGGAAGCGAGAGTGATTTTAAGTCTCTGTTAGCTCTCTCCCTAAAAGTCTGCTTACTTGTAAGGGTTATCACTCCCCCAACCCCAGGAATTACACTTCCTGATTTACAAATCTGAAGAAACACATGACTTTAGCACTTAGTTATCAAGAGTAAATAGTTTGACTTGGAAGCTACCAAATGGACAAATTCTTGGAGTGGGGGGGAAGGGACTGGGCGCAGGGCTGGGGAATCTGCAGCCTCAAGGCCACTTGGGGCCTTCTAGGTCCTCTGGTGTGGCCTTTTAACTGAATCCAAGTTTTACAGAACAAATCCTTCTATTAAGGGGATTTGTTCCATGAAGTCGTTGAGGTTAGGGGCTTAGGGGTGTTGGGACCCCAAAATCAGAACATGCAGGTCCTGCCTGAAAGAATTCGATCCAAGTCTTCTTTCAGCCAAAGACAAGGTTTACTAGAACATTGGTCACGTTGGGCAGACTCTTAAGGAGTCTGAACATTAGTGAGCTATTGTTTAGATTTTAAGAATCTGAGCACCTTAATGGAGACAAGATGGACCTTATATACAGAAAGACTGTGGAAGAAATCTAGGAATGGCCACGAAATGGGGGGGGGGGGGGAGGGGGAGACTTTGAGGTAATAGAATGCCAGGAACCATGTGGCCAAGGGAGAATGGAGCCCAGCTGGGATTAAGGGTGGGAAGCAGCTGGGGGCCACAGGGAGGTAAAACAATGGAGGGCCAGGCTAGGTTAAGGGTAACAGAAATTGGGCCTACCCACAGTGAAAGGCCAGTTGATGGAATTATAGCCTAGATTTGGCCACATGGGGAAGTCCGGGGTTTTCCCTTTTTGGGGTCTAGATCCCATCCTCATCAAAGTTTGGATTCGAAGGGCCACACTTGAGGACCTAGAGGGCCACGCATGGCCTGAGGCTACAGGTTCCCCACCCAGGCTGAGGTATGGTGATGGGAGTTGGGGGGCAGCCTCCAGAGCAGTAAACCGGGATCTTTGCCCTCTTCCCTGGGGCGCTATGTACCTTCTTCCCAAACAAGTGTCTTGCCATTTGCTCAGGTTGTTTGCAGTGCTTGTTCCAGGCACGTTTCCTAGTTATAGCTCTGAGTTTATGTGTTTCCATCTTTTTATCTCATCATCTTCATTACTACATAAACATCTCTTAGATGCAGAAGGACCCTTAGACCTGTACAATTTTTTTTTCCGATTGCCTGCTGTCCATCTCAACTTAGATGTCCTGCTGATAACTCAAATGCAACATTGATGAGGTAGACAGGAGTGCTTGAGGCAGATGGAGCAAGCAGGATGCAGGATGTGACCAGCTAGAAAAGCAATCAAAGAAGACTATGCATTCAGGACCCCCACCATGGATTTACCTGTGTGCTTTCACAAAGCACCCCCAATTACCTGACATTCCAAAACTCCTTCTCCTTTCCCCTTTCCTCTTCCCTTTGCTTATCTGTATGGACTCCTGAGCAGTACCCCTCTTCCCCCTTTCCTGTCCTCCTTGCTTATCTGTAAGACAAAGACACCTCCTGGACTACCTGATATCCTCGGCATTCCAGAGTCCTGCTATCCCCTCCTCCCTTCTCCTGTCCCCCTTCTCCCATCCCATCAAACCATACAGATCAGATACCTAACCCCAATAATTGCTCACTCTGCCTCCCATGTGGAGTAGAGCCTGTTGGGGCTCTGCCTTAAAGGGAGCAGGGCCTGCTTGGGGGCATCACTCCAATAAATGTCTTTAACTTGGAGAAATGCCCAAGTGGATTTCTTTCGGGACACTAGAACTCACACGTTTTTACTCCATTATTTCTGGTGGCACCCCAACATTGTTGGGGTACACCATGAACCCATCAACGTGAACAAAACTGAATTCATCATCTAATCCTCAAACTCCAACTGTCTAATTTACCTCTTTCTGTTGATTCACGAATAATCTAGATTCAAAACCTTATAATCATCTTTAATTCTTTTTAATTTCTTTTTCAGTCCAATAAGTTGTTAAGTCCTAGGCACTCTATTTTTATAGCAGCTCTCACACCTACCCCCTCCTCTCTACTCCCACAATTATCCTTGATCAAAATTTAATTACATTTCAATCAGTCCTATCACTAGCTATAGGCTGAAGGACCTTGGCTTATTATATAGAAAAATGAAGGCACTGTAGTGTTCAGATGTTTACCTCTTTAATTCTGGAGATTTGCCAAGATAGTTCTTTATCCTCTTTTATCTATTTGCCATAACTCTATTTTTGATGCCAATTGTAATTCATGAGCAAGAACCCTCAAATTCTGACCCCAAAAAGATCACTTATTGTTGGCTTATGTTTCCACTCAGAGTTTATTCTGGGAGGCTTCTGAATATGACTCATGTTAGCTCTTGTATAGGCTTCATGGATTTGGGTCAATTAGGTTGCCCAGATCTCATACATACACTCAAGGTAACAGTGGTAATGGGTGTAGGGTAGCATATGTTTAACCCACCAGAAAATGTAGAAGATTAAAAGGACTTAAAAGGATCCATACACAAATACAGTTATTCTTCCACATTGTGACTTTCCCCATCATGGTTTCCATATATCACAGGTCAGCATAAGGAATTAAATTGGAATTTTTGGAGAGTTTTGAGGAAGCCATAGACAACATGTGAAGGTCAGCTGACGACACAGAAACTCAGAAGTGCATAAAATACATGTACGGTATTGTATAATATCAACATATTTTATCTTTTAATATCATAATAATTCAGACTTCTCTGGTTCAAAGGGAAGGTCAAAAAATTTTACACATTTTCCAATGGGGGGGTTGGCATGTCCCTAACCCCTCCATGATGTAGAAGGGATAACTATATTGAAAAAAAACAGAAGGAATGCATAATATCCATTAACAATAGGCACAAATTTCTCTCTTCTTTTCTTTTCCAGTGTCCTAGAGACCTTCATACTCATCCCACCCCATGCTTTGGACTCCACTCAGAAGGGAACTGATCTTGGAGTTGCTCATAGAGAAATACCTCAAGATTCCACTGAATCTCCCTTTGCACTATCTGAATAACAGCAACAGCAAAACTAAGCCAAGGTTTTTTCTCCTCTATGCTAATGAGGTCTTGGGCAGGGCAGGCATGGGGCCCATCGTCTCAGATTTGCTGTTCAGAGAATTCCCTTAGCTAAAAGGCTAGATCTCAAGACTGAACTGCCTAGGAATACCCTTTCTCAGGCTAGAAGGCTGGACCCCTAAAGACTCAGGTTAGGCAACTGCTAAAGATAGCACTGTCCAAGAAATCACACCTCCTCTAACTAGGAGTCAGGGATTCAGGAATGGCATTGTCTATAAATGTCCTTCCCAGGCTACATGGGCAATGTAGGTAGCTCCTATGTGATTCTCCAGGATAATCCACCACTGCCAAATCCACTCTCAGGTCTCTGACGTTTGTTTACAGAAAAGAAGGAACGCAAAAGGCAGTTCCTTCTCAGGCTGCTTGACCAAGCATATGTAGTGCCTATGTGATTCTGTTAGAAGGCAATCACTGGACTCTTGGGATGGTGTGTGTGAAAATCCTCTCCAACCCTGTACTCTAAGGAACCCTGCAAAAGAAAGGTAGATGATAAAAGTGAAAGGACAGCAAAGAAGTTCCATTAGTTCCTTTTTACAGGCCATCACAAAAGAGGTTGCTACTCCAAAGTCTGTCCTCCCAGGAGTCCAAGCCAACAAATTCACTGTGGGGGCAGTCCCAGTCATTGAAACCTATTACTGAGGAGGCATCAAGGAATAGCTCAACCAACTAATTCATCTTGGGGCACTCATGAGACTTGATGAGATTTTCCCCTCTCTTTGCCTTTCCAAGAGGCCAATGGTATGTCCAAGGTCAATAGGAAAAAAGAAATAACCTCTCTGTAGGCTTATCAAATTGACTGGGGAAGTTCCCTAAGCAAATCCTTACACATATTTTAAACACATTCAAGGCCAATCTTTGCATTCGAAACAAATAAAACAATGGTTAACCTAGAATTGTAACCTAGGAAAAATAAAAAAAGTAATAACAGCACCTAACTACCATCACTGAATTGCCACCAGTCAATGGACTACAATCCAGAGCAGAGAAAGACCTAGCTAATATGATTGGTAGGCAATCTTTGGAAAATTGTTGAGAATTGAAAAGATACAATAGTACAGAAGATGGCCAAATGCTATCCAAATACGGAAAGAGAGCAGATCCTTCAACTGCAAACTGTTCAACTTGACCTTGGATGAGTCACTTTCGCCCCCTTTAGGGTTCAGATTTCTCATCTATAAAATAAGATTGGAGGAATTCTCTGTGCTTGTTTCCTCATCTGTAAAATGAATAGGGTGGACTCCAGGGCCTCTAACATTACTTCGAGCTCTCAATTAAGGATCCAACGATTCTTGATTACCTCTAAAGTCCATTTCAGCTCAAAAGCCATGATTCTATGATTCAAGGAAAAATTTTAAAATTTATTATGGAGTTTGTGAATGTTTATTAGTCAACAAATATATGTGTTAAGACACTGGAGATACAAATATAAAATTGAGAGACCCTGCTCTCAAGGAGCTTACATTCTAATAGGGGGATGAAACACATAAAGAAGGATAAACCAGGAAAGGGAAATTTGTAGAGGCACTCACAAGGATTGTGAATTAAGTCACAGGGCAACATGAGTTTTCCAGTAACAATGCTATTATTGGTTCAGTTATTGCTCCCAAAACAAAGGCAAGAAATGAAAGGAGGGAGGGAGGAGGGGGCAAATAGCAAGAGGCCTACATTCCACACACCCAGGAATTCTGTTGGATGACTAGAATGGGATATAAAGCTGGCTAAACATACTGTTTCATCAAGAACATTATACCGCATGACCCTTATTTTTTTTTGTTGTTGTTGACAGGATTAGATCACGAGGAATTACTTTTGATTTAGTAAATCAGTTTTAGCAAAATACTTGGATTCTTTTGAACAAGAAAAAAAGATTTAGTCTAAATCAGTAGTATTGAACTCAAACAGAAATGGATCCCCTCAGGCCACATACTGACTTAAAAAATAGCAAGTTAACATTAACTGTGTTGTATTGCATTTCTATTTGTTAGACATTTCCAAATTACATTTTAATGTGGTTTCCTGGGAATTTTGTGGGCTGTTTGCTTGGGAATTTGACATCTCTGGACTTTAGATAATGGAGATACACTTCTGAACTTGTTGAATTAACAGATCCAAAGAGTAGTCATTAACAAATGGGCATCAACCTGGAGAAAATTCTCTAATGGAATGCCCCAAGGATCTGTCCTTGCTGTTCAACCTATTTTTTTTTTTGGTCAATGACTTCAACACAGGACCGAATGGCATATTTTTTAAATGTATGCAGATGACATAAAACTGGAGGGATTACTAACATTCTAACTTCAGAATCCAAAAATTTCTCAGTAAGTTAGAACAATGTGGCAAATTTATTAAGTGGAATTAAATACATATGTAAAGATATCTATTGTGAATACTACCATTTCTGAAAGTTTAAAGAGCACAGAAAACATTTTTTAGCTAATTAAATATATGGTCTCCTAAACAAAATGACATGATAGCAAATTTTTTTTTAGGCAGTTGGGGTTAAGTGACTTACCCAGGTTCTCACAGCTAATGTGTCTGAAGTCACATTTGAACTCAGGTCCTCCTGACTCTAGGACTGGTATTCTATCCACTGCGCCACCTCCCTGCCCCATTTTTTTTTTTTCGGTGAGGTAATTGGGGTTAAGTGACTTGCCCAGAGTCACACAGCTAATGAATGTTATGTGTCTGAGGCCGAATTTGAACTCAGGTCCTCCTGATTCCAGGGCCGGTGCTCTATCCACTGTGCCACCTACCTTTGGGGTAGCCAAAAAGATATTTTAGACACTGGATATGGATGACTGCTGATCAAGATAAAAATATTCACAGTTCAGCCCTTCCCATTCCCAAGAAGGGGAAGGGCAACTGGAGATGGAGGAGAGTAGGGTTGGGAGTTTTCCTGCCACAAGGAGAGGAATGGATATGGGGGCTCAGGAAAGCAGAGTTTTCAAGACCATCAACACCAACAGCTAAGTCAGAAACTGAAAAAAGTGAACCTAGGAAACAATGTAAGAAGACTAGCCATGGTTCCTGTAGCACCAAGCTGCAGGACAAGCGAATGTGTGATCAAGCCATGTGCCAGTCACAGAACAGATGCTGGGTTCTGCTGAGATTGTTCAAACTGTTGAGACCAAGGCTAGTGATTCTTCATGGTCCTTTTCCCATTTTCTCCCCTCTCCTTTTTGGGAGAACAGGCATATTGTCCCCAGATTATCATTTAAGAGTTTTTGTTTCCTTTCTATTTACTTTTTGTTTTTAAAGCTTGTTTTCTAAGATAAATGAGCAGCTAGGTGGCAGAGTGGATAGAATGCCAGGCCTGGAGTCAGGAAGACTCATCTTCCTGAGTCCAAATCTCGCCTCAGACACTAGCTGTGTGACCCTGGGGAAGTCACTTAATCCTGTTTGCCTTAGTTCCTCAACTGTAAAAATGAACTGGAATAAACCCACATAAATCATCGGCATTTTTATATATTACCAACAAAGCCCAACAGCAAGAGATAGAAAGAGAAATTCCATTTAAAGTTACTGAAGACATTATAAAATATTTAGGAGTCTACCTACTGAAACAAACCCAGGAACTTATACGAACACAATTACAAAAATGAGCTGGAGAAGGAAATGGCAAACCATTCCAGTATCTTTGCCAAGAAAACCCCAAATGGGGTCATGAAGAGTTGGATGTGACTGAACTGACTGAACACACAAATTCTAAAATAAATGTGGATGCCTAGTGCATCACAGAACCACACTTTTCAATACTCAAAAGTAGCAGAGAAAAGACAATGGAAGGGAAGAGAGAGAAACAGATTTCTGAAAATGAAACATTTATTGCTAGGACAACTGTCCAGGCTGTGGGCTCAAGCTGAGGGGAAAACTGATTCATTTTTTGTAACTTCCCAGAGCAAGGACAGAAAACTTGGACCTGGATCATCCTAACAAGAGGTTTAACAGCTTCGGTTGTAGGCATCTGGAGTTGGTATGAGAGGGGGCACTCCACCTACTTCCTCTTCCCATAACTCTTTTCCTGCAGTCTGCCTGAAGGAAAACCAAACCATTCCTGAGTAAAGAGCAAAGGGAGTTTGTTGAAGTAACATTCAATGGAAAGACTGAGAAAGTAGTTAGGAAGTAATGATCCAAGGTGGAATCCACCAGACTTCTTCAGCATAGCAACACATGACACTCCTACCCCTAGTAGAAGTGGGAGCCCATCTTGGATTTTTTTTCCCTTCTGCTCTGGGAGCTTAGATACTATTTTATTTCCCATTTCTTGTGGGGGGTTTTTGATAGTTTTTTTAAACTTTAAATTAAAAAAAATTCCAGGATTCTTGTTGTAAGCACTGGAGATCCCCTATTTACAAAAATTCTATTTTTAAAAATATTTTGGTATATGTTATTTTAATTTTCCTTTGATGCTTTCAGTTTGGAGTAAAATTTATTGCTATTTTGGGAAGAATTACTGGTTTCTGAATTTTATAATTTTGATGCACAACTTTTAATGGACTTTTGTTTCTTTTTGAGATTTCACAGCCTAAGACTTTTAAAACCCTGTATCTATTTTGAGTTTATTTGTTCTACATTTCATTTTCTAGCCTCCCAAAAAATTACCTCCCTCTATTGTATTCAAACTGCTGTATTTCTATGTCAAATTTAATTATGAAACTCTGCTATTCAATAAAGTTAATTGTGCCATTAAATGTGAGTGCCAATCGGTTAATGTTAAAATGGAATACTACTGTTCCATTGCTACTAATTTGCATATCTGCTCCACTATTACTTGCTGTGTCATTTGCTTAGATGATTGCTTTACTGTATCACTGTTGTACATCTGGTTTACTGCCATGCTGCAGATTGTTGGATACGGCTATCGTGGCTCAATCTACTGAACAGCTGGAATAAAAAGAAGGCAGTAAAATCAAAAGGGATTAAGAATTATTATGGAATTGGCAGGTATAAGATATAGAAAGGGGGAATAAATTAATAGAGTGTCTCAGAGGACTATCTCTGAGGCCAATAGGAGGTATGAGGTCTGCCGAGTTGCCACAGATCTGCCATCAAATGGGAGATGTGTTTGCAGAAACTTAAGCATCATAGCAATAGTGAAACAGCAGGCCAAGCATGAACTCCATTCATTGAATCTACATTTCAGCATAGTGGGGGAAAACCCTTTATTGTATGTAACATGAATTCCATAATTCAGAGGCTGATAGAGATTGGGACAGTAGGGCCTGAAGAAGATAAGACAATCGGACTAGAATGCGTGAGCAATGACCTGCTACATCACAAAATAACAAGAACTCAGTTGAGCAGTTAAGAACTTCTACATAATGTAGCAGATTTTTGGGGCAGCTAGGTGGCACAGTGGACAGAGCTCTGGCCTTGGAGTCAGGAGGACCTGAGTTCAAATATGGCCTCAGACACTTGACTGTGTGACCCTGGGCAGGTCACTTAACCCCAATTGCCTCACCAAAAAGCAAAAACAAAACAAAACAAAAGAATGGAGCAGATTTTGAAATGCTGCTAGAATCAGTGAGCATAATGGAAAGTAATTGCAAAGCCAAGTATTTTCACTGAGAAGTCTCATCTATAAATAGCTCAGGAATACATACCACTATACGGGCTACATATACAGAGGACAGCCACACCAAAGACGGGAGTCAAAAGCAGAAGTCTTAAGAAAACCTTGTGAAGGAAAAAACCCTGGACAAAGCCAACACACTTGGAAAGGTAATGAGATAAAGGAATGGACCATGATGGGCTAATATATAAACATCACCATCAGCAGAAAACCAGGATGGTTTTTTGCTCTAACTGGGGAAAAGATAGCCATATGAAGGACAGATGTACCTATGAAGAGAATGAAGCCTTGATGCTACAGAAGTTATCTTCTGAGACCCGGCAAAGGAACTAGGTCCTGGGAAGGAAGTCATTCTAGAACCTAATATAGTAAATATGGTTTCATCACTTATTCCTTATGGGTCTACTCCATCCGAACTCATAGGATTGTGAACAGAAGGAAAGATCAAGATTGAGGATTGTCTTCGACAGAAGATTGCAAATAGTCATCATATTTCAATCACAATCTGGAGGATTAAATAACAAAAATTATTGATATATGGGACACATCAAAGTGAATCTGAAATATCCCAAGAAAATTGTCAATGGGACAGTGGACACTGTGGCTCTGGTATTTCCAAATCTGTGATCTATCAATGGAATGTGAGGACTGATTGGAAATAATTCCAATCAACATCACAGGATACAGTAAACAGAAAGGCGGAATGCAATACCTATGCACTTTGGCCATCCATGCAACCTATGCTTAGGTCTGCAAAAGAAAAGACAAGTTATGATGGTAGACTACCAGCCAAAAAATGCCTTATCCAGAAATTCCATGTGACAGTGAAGCAATGACGATACCTAAAGAACGAATGAAGACTATATGTGATACCGAGGGAGCTAGGTTATAACAGCAATACTACTGAGAGTTTGGGACTTATACCAGACAGAATACCAATAGCACATGTGAACCACGTATGATGGAGGAGGAATATTGTGATTCCCATTCCAGCTCAGTTGTTGTAGTCACAGAATGCAGTCATACATAATAAAGTTTTAATGTGCAAACAAAATGAGTCTGCATCCTGATCCCTTTAATGGGTGTGAAGCCTTGAGTAAGTCAAGAAGGGAAAAATTCCATTGTCTGAGAAAACGTATTACACAAGATGGCTGCCTGAACAATAGAACGCCTAGCTCGGCCACACCTACTGCCGCTAAAACATGTAATTCATGCCAGACTGAATAATCCTCAAGAAATCCAATGAGAAACTATGGTAAGTGAATAATTCCATGCCAGAACTGCACAGAAAGACAGCCAGGAACCCACAACCAGTAAAGCCAGCACCAGAGCAGGCAAACAAATCTATAGCCTCCCAGAGAGACCAGAAAAGGACCAAAGACACATGCGGCCTGTGGGACTCTGTGTCTAGTCAAAGAAAGTGAAGGATTCCCCTGAGAAAAACCAAGGAAAATCTATAAGCCCCAGGATGGGAGCCCTGGAAGTTCCAAAAGCAAAAATGACCACTTCAGGGGCAGGTAGGTAGTGCAGTGGATAGGACACCAGCCCTGGACTCAGGAGGACCTCAGTTCATACAACCTCAGACATAGAACACTTCCCTGCTGTGTGACCCTGGGCAAGTCACTTAACCCCATTGCCTAGCCAAAAAAAAAAAAAAAGTGACCACTTCAAGTGAAGTTCAGCCCAGGCTACCCCTGGCTTCTCTGTCACTCTGTCAGAGACACCACAGGGAGCCCTAACGATCCAGTACTCCGAACATCAAAGATTCAAGTAGGGTTTAATTCCCAGTCCATGTAGACACTCAGAAGACCTAATCCTACAGATTAAAAAAAAAAGCTCTGGGATAAAGGACTGGAAGGAGAATAGGTAGCTTGGAAGAAGTGGTAAATCTTACCTTGAAAACCAGAAGAAACCCAAACAGAAATGAATGATTTCATGAGTCAACAAGAAATACTAGAACAAAATT